GAGCCGTTTTAGGTAGGCGTGGTTGACTCTTAACTTTTATAAAGAATATCTCTTTAGATTTGAGACTTTAGTCTTTGCAACTTTACAGATCTTCTTTATGCACCAAGAGCTTGTAACACTTCAAAGAGAAAGGAACAATTTAAATTGCATCATATGACCCCTTTAAGAAGAAAATGACAGTCTTTATCCGGTTGAATAAATGGCATTTCTTTGTGAAGACAAGCTGATAAACTAAATAAAAAACATTCTTGTCTTGTCTTTTTGCGCTGTCTGCAGATTACGGTATAATCATAAGCGTGCACACTTTTGTCGCGACCAGCTTGACAGGCGCTCAGCTTCGCATTTTTAATGCGCCGTATTTTTGAACAGTTACTTTTAAAGAGCTAGTTTCAAGATGGAGTGATCTGTGTCATTCATTTGTGCGCATCTTTTTGCGCTCTCTCCAGAGTGAACAAGTCCTGTATGTGTACAGTAAACGCGTCTTGTGTATGGCCGGGTTCATATGTGCTGAATATTGCCAAAGATGTCGTATTTATAGGCTAAAATTTAAAATGAGCTCATTATCTGACTCGTTTTTGTAGAGTTACTGAATTTTGAATTCAGCAAAAAGTCACGTCACACAATCATGACCGATCATTGTTTACATTATCAGTCATTGGTGTGCCACTTCAGAAAACTTGTGCACATTAATAGTCCTACTATGTATGTAGCTAGTGTTGTAGTAATACTCAAATATAACAATTCATTTGAAATAACCCAATAAATTCATTAAATCATTCTTACCATGTGGGATTTAAGAGAAGTCTGAGGTTATCCTAACTTTAAGAAGTTATTTACAATGATTTTTGAGAAAATTATTTTCAAGAATTTGAATTCTTCTTAAGTTTTGTCTTAAAAACTATCTTAAAAAAAAAAAAAAAAAGAATATTCTTAATAATAATTTTTTTGGGGAATACAAAATATTCTTAATTTTTTCTCAAGTTAGAAAATAAGAAAAAAAAAAGGCAGTTAAGAAAAGAAATGACAATATTTCACCATATCCAAATGATAAGAATATTATTTAAGTAGCCTAGCTCCAAAACTTAATTAATTAGAAATGTGACTCAATCACAACTAAATTGATCAAAAAGAAGTCTGAGGCCACTTTCAAGTCAAGATATAATGTGAATGCAAACAAGAACTATGCTCATTTGTAACTAAAGAACTTTTGTACTTTATAGTACTCAAATATATAGACACTTAAAGAGTAAAGTGGCATTAGAATGTCAGCAAAACTTGACTTAATTTGAAGACATAGCTTACAATAGTTTTCAAACATCTTATTCAACATGAGATTTTAGGCCTTTTTGTTATTTAAGCCTTTTTTTCTAAGCAGCAGTGTATGAGATGTTACTGTAAATGTTTATCATGTCAAATATTTGTAAAAATTATTCACAGCATGATTTTAGACCAAATTGTTCAACCCTTCTATCTATTTGTATAATGGTCTTGCCATATGTATAACTGCATGCAGGTTGTTAGATGTCACAGTAGGTTAAGACAAAACAACGAACATACTGTATTGTGTTATGCAATTCCATTACCATATCAAATACCACTGACATACAGTAGTAATTAAGTACGCCTAAATACCACCACACAAGTGTCCCAGTAGAATGCAAAGCTCAGGCAGGCAGACAAAGGGTGGACTTGATCTTAAATGAAAGATTAAGGGGTGTCTGACCTGTACTGAGCTTGGAAGTGCTCCTGTACGAAACTGTGTCGAGTTCCAGGCTGCTGTGAGTTTGCTGGGCTGGGGCATGAACTCTCCTCCAATCCCACAGAACCCTGAGAGGTGCAAGCAGAAGGAATGAATAGGAAAAAAATATATTTAGTTGTTTTTCACAGTGGTTTTGGGATGTATAACTACAGTTTACAAAGGGAAAGTACAGACATTGACATTGAAAGCTCTGAGATTGACTGCAGAAAAATGTCTCAATACACAACAAGTTACAGGCTATGAATTAATACCTAACTGAGACAGATATATATATAGCTAGTGTCAAAATACTCTTCTTTTCTATTCATAGAAATATGATCACTATACTATATACTATGGAGATATTGACACAAAACACATCAACATTCATAAAATTCATTTGAATTATAGTTGAGTTTAGAGTTTTTTTTTTCTGTTGGGTGTTTTTGGCCTAGATTTCTTTGGACTCAATCTAAACTTTTTATTTTCTCCTCTTATGTGTAAATTTCAGCCCTGAGTTATACTGTTGATGTTTTTTTTTATCATTTATTTTATTGACTGCCTCTCAAGGCACCTTGTCCAAGGCATAACACTAGTAAACAGAGAAAGAAAACAAGAACAAAAACATGCAAAGAAGTATTTCAAGTAATTAGGACATAATGGATTAAGTTCTGAAAGGAGAGAGAAACTGGCTAAAAGTTTACGAGTCATGAAAATTTATAAAGGACGTCATCCTTTCAGTTTATGACATCATCCTGTCAGCTGATTTCATCAGGATGCTCTTATTTGGAAATAGAATGAGCTGAATCATACCTTAAAAAACAGCTTGCTTCTTTAATTGTTCTCTTTTTTTAGTTATGTTTCAAACAAAATCATTATTTAAAATCAATATGATTAAAGTATGTGTCTTCCCTTTTATTTAACTCGTATTTACTACTCTATTTCTGTGAACATAGCATGACCTTCTAGAAAATTAAGTGCCTTCAACACTGTTGCAATAGTTATCGTCCTTTTCTTTGACAATATGCCTTTTTTCACAAAAATCAAAAATGACACCAGCGCAGAGTAAAGCAAGTTCCGCTACAGGTCTGTGTCTATTATATTAGTACTCTCTTCTCTCAAATAACACATCTTACCTTTTATGTTTTGTCTGTTTTCCAAGTTGATGTTATATAATTTACAAAGAAATAACAATGTAATTGTTTGTAACTTATATTGCCACTCATACTGCTGACTCATTGAGAAATTTAACTTTAAGGGATTCAACAAAGGTTAAAATAAACGAGAAGAAGCTTTGTAGAAAAATAATATAGGATACTGCATTCACATGCATTCTTATCCTGAGATTAGAGGACCCTTGACGTATCTGAAAAACCAGCCGATAATTTGCAAAGAAAAACACACATGTTCGATTCGGATCAGGATCAAAATCATGTCAAGTACATCTTTCAAACATGAATTTACCTAACCTCCTCAGGAATTAGTCTTCCAAACATGTCTAAGACACCCAGGGAATTATGGGGAGCAGTCAGAGAAAATTAAATTTTAGTCTGAGTTAACCCACTGCTCCGGGTGTGTGTTCATGGTGTGTGTGTGTTCACTGCTGTGTGTGTGCACTTTGGATGGGATAAATGCAGAGCACTAATTCCGAGTATGGGTCACCATACTTGGCCACATGTCACGTCACTTTAAAAAAAGAAGCACCTTCTCAAAACTGGGTCAAAAGCCACTTAGCTTGACTTTAGAACAGAGAATAGATGCCTCAGTGAACAAGACTGGGCAGCATTTCTCTCTCTCCCTTAAAACAGTTTTACCAAATGCAGAAATATGCTTGATATAGCATGATAATGTTGCTTTAGGTGCTAATAGTGAGGGTCTAAAATTGCTCTGACTTGCTAGTAGCAAAATGCACATTGTGTGTAGCACAAAACTTTTATTGCCAAGGCAGAAATATAACAGGAGTCAACTGATGATGTCTGGAGAACATTGCTGCATTACAATGAAATGATCTAATTATTTTTCTCTGGCAGCAGATGCTGCACAATTCTTTAAAATCAGAATTGTTTTAATACCTTTGTTCACTCACCGACTACATAATTGAAAGTAATAATTCAAATTTAATATATTTCAGGACAGAACCTAGACATCTGCAAATATATATAATATAAAGATGCAGCTCATGTCAGTGTCAGATGCAGCCTATCTGTTTGTCTCATCACAGAACTCGGGATGAGGTTTGAATTAGTGATTGCCTTTAAAGAGATACCAGTTCAAACAGATACTAATCGCCAGCATCAGCAAAACAACAGAAACCGCTAGACCACACAGATACTCATGGTCATGGGTAACAGATATTAGTATGTTTCATTCAGCAGACAAACTCCAGCCCAAGGACTCGCCCTTGCAGAGGAACTGCTGCCGTTAAAGGGACCGTTCACCTTCAGTTGCTGGTTCCCATTGACTTGCATTGACTTTTTTTTCCCATACTATGGTCAATAGTCAATAGGGACCCACAACTGAAGGTGAACTGCCCCTGTAACATTGGCTGTCCTCTGAATTATTCACTTCAGCGTCACTGAGGATGTACATAAAAACATCAGTGTCTATCGAACATCAATGTAGGCCTGGGCGATAAAACGGTATCAATATTTACGGTACACCTTCTTCGATATCTATAGAAAAAATGTTCGATATAATGCACGATATACACACAAACATGAACACATGCTGAATTGAGTGCTGTGCCTGCCTGTGATGAGGAGATTGTGAATAAAGAATGAATATTAGTCGAATTTAAAATAAACATTTGCATTTGAATGTTAGGTGTGCATCAGGGAGCGTCATCAGTGGCACGCGAGATGCGGTGATAATGATGTGAGTGACGTTGTTTCATTCTAATGTTTTGTTAGTCTAGCCCACGCGCCGCTGCTGTGTTATGCATTAAAAATATTAGAGAAATATTGAAGCTCAATGCGGAGAAGATCTTGAATGGGTTAAAACCGAAACCAAGCCATTCACACAGAACGCATATTCAGCGCATTTTTTAGACGGACAAATATGACTGCTGCACTCGCGTCTCACAGAAGAGATGTATAGAAAGCCATGCAAAGTTAAAACAGTTTAAACTTTTAGAAAACACGTCACGAATTTGTGGAGGTTTATTCCTTTTCACTGCGTCTCATATGTTTTTAAATGCAGTCTGTGTGAATGGCGCTTCGGCTCTTTGGATTAAGCAATGCATAAATACATGATGCTGTTTTGTTCATAATTGTTTATGCAATTTACGAAATTATATTTGATTTTTATGAGTTAATTTAGACGTAACGCACGTTTTTGTAGAGTTACTTCCTTGCGTTGACAATTTAAATTCGCTTCATTATTTTGCTCATTGCGCCCTCCTGTGGCCTCGGGAGACAATTAGACCTATACAATAAAGACCTATTTAATCTGCATATAAAACATTAGAAATTAGATATTTGTTTAATTTTTATTGTGTTTGATTGTTAAAACTAAAAAATATTTGTTGTTTGTCTCAATAAATTGTGTTAATTATAAATACAGTGGTTAAATTTAAACATTTTTTTCTATTGCTTTTTGTTTAAAAAAAAAGGTTATAAAAATGTCAATAATTATAGATACCGAACGATATGAAACATTATATCATTGATACATTTTTTTGCTATATCGCCCAGCCCTACATCGATGTCTTTTGTGAACCATTTCTGATTCAGGTTAGATTTGTTAACTACAAGTCTCTCACATAAAGACAGCTGTTGTCACTTTCTTTAATGTTATGAATTCAAGGATTCAAGTGTGAAGTATGTAAATGTTGCTTAGTTAAAAAAAAATTAAAATAAATGTAAGTGGGTGAAGAGCTGTGAAATGGTGAAAGAGATGTAAGGAAGTGGAGACAGAACTGTGAGGAAAAGGAGAAAGAGATGAGAGGAAGTGGAGATAGAACTGTGAGGAAATAGGAGTTGTAAGGAAGTGGGAGAAGAACTGTGAGGAAGTGGGAAAGAGATGTGAGGAAGAACTGTGAAGAAGGGTGAGTGGGCAGGCTACAGGAAACTGGGAAGGGCTAAAAGGAAGTAAAGGAAGGAGAATTGTGTGAAGAGTTGTGAAGGAGCAAAGCAAAGGTTGTGGAGGAGTGCGGCAGAGTTGTGGAAAGTGAAGAGCTATAAGAAAGTAGGGCTGTCTCTCTGAAAAACAGTGTGGAAAAAGAGCTGTGTCATAGTACTCTTGCTGTGAGGAAGTGGGAGAAGATTTGCGAGGAAGTAGGGGAAGAGTTGTGAGGAAGTGGTGCAAGACAACAGGGAACTGTAAAAGGGTTATGATGAAGTGAATTAAGAGTTATGAGGAATTAAGGGCAGAGGTGTGAAGAATAGAGGAAAAAGCCATAATGAACTGAGGGAGTGCTCATGAGGAAGTGTTAACAGAAAGTGTGGTGTGTTGGAAGAGAGTTATAAAGAAGAGAGAGATGAATAGGTTAGGTAAGAGTTCTGAGGAAATATGAGAAGAGCTGTGAGGAAATGAGGGAAGAGTTTAAAACAAGTGAAGGCAGAGCTAGGATTAAGTGGGGGAGAGTAATGAGAGAAAATCTGTAAGGAAAAGAGAGAAGAGATTTGATGGGGAAAGGTAAGAGCTGGAAGAAAGTGAGGGAGGAGTTGTGAGGAAGTGTGGAAAAAATTATGAAGAAGTGAAAGGGGAGCTGTGAGGAAAGGGAGGGGTTATAAGGAGGTGAAATAAGAAAATAAGGGAAAAGCTGTGATTAAAAGTTCATGAATCCTTTTTATCCACTGCATCCATCTGTCTGCCCACAGAGGACAGTGTGAGCACCCTCCTACCTGTGGAGCTGGATGTTTGTAAGGAAATCCACTGAGGTTGACAGATCTCCACTACTTGCCTTATATCTTTCTTCCTCTATATTCTGTCTGTAGTAAGAAAACAGCTGAAACATTTTCACAACAAATTAATCAGAAACACGTCAAGTATTTTACCTCTTCTCAGAGAAGCATTACTCTGAGAAGTGTCTGTATGAGTCATTTATAAATATGCGCAATCCTTTACAAGAGTTGATACAAGTTATTCC